CTCCGCCCCCCATGACCCTGGTGAGGATGAAGGTGTAGAGATGATGGATGGATGAGTCTTCACTCACCAGGCACTTTAGGCGACCAGTCGATGGCGAATCCTTCCGTCATGTGTCCTGAGAAGCTGAACAACGGCGTGGCTTCTTTCTGCTCACTGACGAAAGCCGCCATGGCAGCAGAGCTGTGGACGGCCTCCAGCTGCACCCGGAGGTCGAATACCTCCACCTGTCCCTTCTCTGACCACACGGCCGCCAGCGACCGCTCTCCGCACTGCGTCACCTGCAAATCGCACACCAACGTGAGTCCTTTCATGGATGAATTATTAAGAAAATCAAGTTGTTATTACCCCTGAGCAGGCTTTAATTGGATTTTTAGCCCCAGTATCTGTTGGACGTATCAACAGTTTAAATGGACTTCAAGGCAAAACACTGCAGGTGAAGGAGGTGAATGATCAGTAGATAAAACATAAAATTTTCCTGTGATTACTCACATTAAGACAGTTGATTTTTTAAAAATTTAAATTGTAGGTTTAAATATGCAAATAAACTATTATCTTGTCAAAAATTTGTATTAATTTCCAAAATGGAAATACAGTTTTTTGTTTAATCTTGTTGACATATTAGAGTCACAAGTCCGTCCAGAAGGAGCTCAGAAATCTCTTCTCATCGCTCCATTAATCAGAAAACACTGACAAAGAAAAATAATATCTAAACGTTGTATAAACCAGGCTGTGATTGATCCACGAACAAACCTCTCAGTAAAAATATTCAGAATACAGATTGAAATAAAACTGGAATGTTCTTTCACAGCTAGGAGGAAAATCTGATGCGTTTTTATTGGAAATCACTTTTTAATATTTAAACTGACACCATGAACCATGAAACTGTCCCACTTACTACTTACATGAAGACAACTAACTTTCTGTATCACAAACGATCTGAAATGTTTTGCTTAAATATGCAAATGAGGTACTGTCATTTAAAATGAGGACATTTGCATTAATTTCCAGAACAGAATTCTAAACATTGAATAAAATCAGCTTCAAAGTTCTTTGTTTCATTTTGCTGACATGTTAGAGTCAAAGGTTTTTACAGATATTTCTTTTTATCACTCCATTAACCAATAATAAAAATTGATCAATAATAAAAACCAAAAAAAAGCCAGAAGAAAATCCAATTTTTGTCACATTTTTAGTATTAAAATGTTGTAGAAATCAGACTGTGAGGGATACATGCAGGATGTAATCTGCAGAATACAGACAGAAATAAACCTGGAGGTTTTTATTTGCACCACAGAGCTGCTGAATAGTCAAAAAAATCATTAGATTTTAAGTGGAAACCACAACTTACAGGTAAACATTTAACACATATTAGCACCAAACCTCCCTCTTTGTTCCTGACATCTGTCTGTCGTCAGTAACTCAGTTTAGTTTCTACATGTTTTTAGAGATTTATTCCATCAGAACATGAATGTTTTTTTAGTAAATTGGGGCCCTGATGAGCAGAATAAACCCCGTTTGATAAAAGGTTTCCT